CTCTACTAGGAAGGGGAGTTATATAACCATACAGTCAACTTCTTGTACTGACCTTTAAGTCGATGGACTTGAAATCGAGAACTTAATTAGCACATCGGTGAACTGTTTGCGTCTTTCTTTTGATAACAGTACAATGTACATCTAATCTGCATCTCGTGGAATTCTTTCACTATATTTTTCTGCATTACTGAGCAGTCTTCATCGCACTGTTTCGGCCGAGTCGACAAAGCTAATGAAACACGGGAACAAGCTTGTGATTTGTTCTCGGAAAGAAGTCACGTAGAGAGGCTTACAGTTTTAATTTGTTTTGAGATCAGCGTCACGACGAGCGAACAATGGCAAATAAGTTGCTAAACCTTCCGTTATCTCACTGTCGAAACTTGTTTAAAAAAGCTATCGTAACTTTTTTATTCTAAGTTAAAGAAATATGCAGGTTTATACACAGTAAGGTATATTGGACATTATTCATTCCTCCACGGCTGGAGGTTGAATTGAATTTCCGTCTTGTCATCCAACAGGCGGAACGCGCGCGAATGGAACTCGAGAGGGAACTGGACGATTTAAACGAAAGACTTGAGGAACAAGGTGGTGCCACCCAGGCACAGGTATGTGTTGGAAAGTAAATATTGTATTAAAGAAAAAACGAAATTGAAGCGACCGGAAACGGAAAAACACAAGTACAGGTAGTCGGAAATGAAAGTTTGTTCTTCAACGCTTTGCAAAAAAAAAATGTGTGTTTGTTTGTTTTTGAATTCTTTTTTTGGTTTAAACTGTGCCACTCATGGAAGTGTATGAAAAGATAAATAAGTATTTTTGCTTTTTTTTTTTCTGCCGTAGATCGAGCTTAACAAAAAGCGCGAGAGTGACATCACCAGACTCAGACGAGAACTCGAGGAACAGGCCTCGCAACATGAACAGTCCGTCAACAGCATGCGGACCAAACAAAACCAGGCCTTGCAAGAACTGCAGGACGAATTAGATTCCTTGAAGAAATCCAAATCCAAGTATGTACCTGAAACAACTTGATAGTTTGACTATTATGAAAATGAGAAGGGAATATTGAGATATTTAACAAATTACGAGAATTTTTTTTTTTAAATGGACAATCCGTGTCAAACGCTCGTTTGACTCGTCACGCTTGTCACGCATCGCGTGACAAGCCCAAAGAAAGTCACCGAAGAAAGTCGAGCCAAAAATTACTAGACAGTAATAAACGTAAAATAAAGCGACAGCTGAGTGTCCCTCACAGCGCGTGATATAAAAATATTTCCCGTGACTTACCATATATTAATTTTTTTCGTAGGATCGAAAAGGAAAAGAATGCTTTGCAAGCTGAAGGGGACGATCTTTCTGTCAGCTTGGAAACGCTGCAAAAACAGAAGGTATTGCACAGTACTGCTGTTGTGTGTTTTTAGTGTTGACTTTAAGGTTTTCCACTTGTTGTTGTTGATGTTTCATCTAATGGTTTGCTTGCTGTTATTTTCAAAGGCTCAGTCGGAAAAACAAAACAGAGCACTGGAGGAGCAGCTCAATGATCATAAGTATCAGGTGAGGAAAGAAACTCGGCTAACGGCTTGAGAATTGAGATAACGTCACTCTTTTACTTATACACTTACGTGGATTATACAGCTGTTGAATCAGAAGCACATTTTCCCAAATAGTTTCTCAATATTGTTTGTACACCTGGCCCGAAAAGAAACCGGAACTCAAGTGTTTTACTGAAAAACAAACCTCGACAAGAAATCCCGGTCACATCTCTTGCTGTGGCCGACCAGAGTTCCGAGTTCAGAGGACATAGGTCATCTTGGAGTGGAGTACATCCTGAATATTAAATAGTATGGACTAAGTTGTTATGCAATTCATCAAATCTTTGAACAGTCCACTACCGCAAAAAAAAAAGAAAGAAAGAAAAGGAAAAAAAAAGGGAAAGAAAAAGCAAAGTAAGATTGATCACACACAAAAAAATTCAGGCTTGAATGGGATTCGAACCCATGACGCCTGCCATACTGGTGCAGTGCTCTACCAACTGAACTAACAAACCAACTGGGAGCTGGTCATGTTGTAAGGATTGTGAATAAAGATCGCTGAATCGGATACTGAAATGTTCTGCGTAATGTTTTGTTTCACAATTGCCACTCTCCGTGTTAATTTTCTTTTAGGTGGAGGAATTGAAGAAGGCTATCGCCGAATTGGAGATCGCTCGCAGTCGTTTGACCCAAGAGGGCGGAGATCTTGGAAAGCAGGTCGAAGAATATGAATCTAAAATGACCATACTTTTGAAAGGAAAGAAAGCCCTGGAGCAGAAAGTGGAGGAACTGAAGGGACAAAACGAGGAGGAAATCAGAGTAAGTCTTCTTTTATTCAGCCATTCAATTTCCAGGAGTGATAAGCACTTATTTCTCCTTACAATCTTAGATTTGTTTTAAAAAAAGCAGGTTGTAAGAACGAAGAAGTCGTTATCTTGGGAATAAAGGTCCGGTGATACGGGCAACATTTTTCTTCAACTTGTCTCGCAACATTGTTGCATTGCAAGTTGAAACACTCTGTTGCGCGTATTACCACTTTTGTGACCAACTTGTCTCGCAGCAAAATACAGTGTTGGAGGTTGAGGTAATATGTTGCGCAAAGTAGGCTCGAGTTCTACTTTCTGCAACAAATTTTAGTTTTGCTGCTCGTATTACCACTGAAGCTTCAACTTGTCTCGCAACAATTTGAATTCGACTCTTGTGATTGGCAAAGCGCGGCAACGCGGCAACGCGGTAACGCGGCCAAAAAAACATGGTGGACGGTAAAGACGAGCCTGAATTCAAAGTAGGCCAGTAACTCTCGGAAAGTAATAATTTCCCCTGTGCAAAGACCTTGAGGGCTATCATAGTCTTTGGGGCACCTCGTTTGTCCGTTCAAAACAAGCGGCACAACAGGCAAAAGGCTTGGAAGAACTGTTGCAGAAATACAACTTTTCGCCTAGCTATCTGTTACGACAACAAAACTTTATTTTGTTCTGAAATGACACTGAGCCTCATACTGAGAGAACTTCGCTGGCACGGAAAATTAAGAAGAAATGACGGCCAGAAGTGAAAGTGGAAGTTCGTCGAAACGATAAATTATATAAAAGGCGCCATCTTTATTTAGACACGATTGACCAATGAAACGTAAAGAATTCGCTGACTTGCAACACTGTATTTTGCTGCGAGACAAGTCCATCACAAACGTGGTAATACGCGCAACGGAGGGTTTCAACTTCCAATGCAACAATGTTGCGAGACAAGTTGAAGAAAAATGTTGCCCGTATTACCGGACCTTAAGTTGCAATCAGAGCTCGGCATCAAAACGGTCAGACTTGTCAAATTTAAACTAGATGTTAACTATTGAATGTTTGTGGTTCAGCTTAAAGTGGACGCTCAGAATAAGTTGAAGAACGCCGAAGCCGACTTGGAGAGCATGCAGGAGACGATCGAGGAGCTAGAAGACGGCAAGGCCGACTTGCAGAAACAGCTCATGAAGGCTAATACCGAGATCGCCCAGCTTAAGGCTAAGTTCGAACAGGAGGTGTCTGGTCGAGTGGAGGAACTTGAAGACGCTAAGTGAGTCATTCTTACTCGTATAAATCCTTTTAAACCGCCAACGAGTTTAACAACTCAAAATGATCCCAAATTTCAGTTTGGGAGACGTGGAGATTTAAACACGGCTGCATGAAAGTACTGCTCGATAGCTTTCGTTTGAATGTTTAAACCCTGGAGTTTCATCCACAGACTTCAGATAACCACCTTGTTTAGCATAATAAACATTGCAACATGAAAGTACTGCTCAATAACTTTCATTTGAAAGGTCACACACTACGGTTTCATCCATAGACTTTAAAGTTGGAACCACCTTGGACAGCATAGTAAACAGTACCACATGAAAGTATGGCTCAACAGCTTTCAATTGAATGGTCACACACTAGGGTTTCAGCCACAGACTTTAAAGTAATGGTCACAGATTAGTGTCTTATCCTAAGACTCAAAACTTCAAGAGACTCACAGTTGGCTCTACCTCTCTCTTTTCGAAACTCTGGTGACGTAGGGTGGGGAACCAAACTGCGGTCACGTGGTATCAATCTTGACGTTCTTACTTACTCTTTCGTTAGACGCAAGCTGACACAGAAACTACAAGAGACCGAAGAAGCGCTTTCTAGCGCCAGTCAAAAGGCCAGCAATGCTGAGAAGGCCAAGAACAGACTTAACTCCGAGTTGGAAGATGCCCTCATCGACTTGGAGAAGGTTAGCTTGTTTTCCTGCTGCAACACTTTTTTTCCTATTTTCAATATCACTTTTTATTAACTCACTCGCTCAATCCTCTTCGTTCCTGATAAAACGTCGGTCATCCATTGGTGCCCGCCATCTGACCCTATTTTGAGCAGTGCGTTTCGCTTCCTACCACGTTAGAAATCTCTCCTCCAACTCTGCTATTCTTGTGCGCCTCCAGATGCGCTGGATTCTGCCTCTCTCGGGCTTCTCATATGGGTTCCACTCTTTGGCACTCATTGTTAAACATACTATTATATTTTTAAGCGTCAGAGTAAACCATTTACAGGGTTGTCACAGATCAGAAAATGATCAGGGAAAAAACACTCTACAAGGTCAGGGCTAAGTCAGAGAATTGTAAATTTTGAGTTTGAAGAAAAATCATTGAGGGTTGGAAGAAACATTTGCGGTCACTGTGAGCTCGACGATGTTCTTCCTTAATGAAGAAAAAAAGATTTGTTGAAATCTTGTAAGTCTTAATGAATGAGTGGAAAGGAGGGCTGTAAAGGGGAGGCCAGACACCGCTAGTACTTACTTAGTGTATCTGACATTTTGCATTATTTGGTCAGGGAAATTCTGTTTTTATGAGGGAAAAGTCGGGGAATTTTGAAAAGTGATGTCTGTGGAAACCATGGTTTATAAAGTGCTGTGTATTTATCCTGACAGGCTACGACAAACGCTGCCAATCTGGAAAAGAAACAGAAGAAGTTCGACCAGCAGATAAACGAGTGGAAGTTACGGTGCGATGAATTACAAGCTGAAGTGGACAATGCACAGAAAGAAGCGCGTAACTACTCCACTGAGGTTAGTCGCAGATCTGCTTTGGTTTAGAAAAGAAATAAATCGCAATATTTAGAGAGGAAGCTAAATCGGCCTTAGCTGGTTTTCATTCGAGTCCTCTCTCCCTGTCGAATTGGAATTTGGAGACGTGCCCGGAGAAAAATCCTCGGAGCAAAGCCAAGAAGTAACAACAAACTCAACCCACATATGGCGCCGGGCAGGAATCGAACCCGGGCCACATAGGTGGTAGACTGCTCCCAACATTAACTCCCCAGAACTCTCAAGACGTCTTTTTTGTGAAGTTTATTCGCTGCAAGGCCGTGCATTGTCAATACAATTCTTACGGAGTGTTTTATTTATTCCACTTCAGATGTTCAAGCTGAAAGGATTGAATGATGAAATGAACGAACAAATGGAACTCTTGAGAAGAGAAAAGAAGAGCTTGGAAGGTTTGTGTTTCTCTTGTTTTTCTTTAGTTTGTTAACAATTTCACTTCGGAAACTAGCGTGGTTTAAAAACAAACATCTCAATTTTGCAGAGTATCGCAAAATTAAGTTCGCACAATTACCACCCAATAACTTTAATTCAATATTGTTCCTCACTAAGGTTTAATTCATGTACAGGGTTCAAGATAAAACCACATTGAAAACATTTACCCGTCACAAGTATCCCTCAAAAGTAGTCGCGTTGTAATGGTCACACCCTAAACTTTCATCCACGGACGGATTGAAAGCTAGAAATTATTGACTTAAGTCCTTGCACTGTTAGAAACTACGTAAAAGATGTCGTAACATTGTAATTGCACAGATCAAATACAATGGGGCGAACAAAGGGAATCTCATTCCAGCTTATTGGTACCACTCTCATTCATACTATAGGACAATCTTTGTTTACATTGGTTAGCTCATTAGTATAAGCGATACTGTTTCCGATTGGGCTACAAAAACAGTAGTTCTGAATATCAAAATGGCACGGNCTAGGCCGTTTGGCGAACCAACCAACAGTTTAGAATTTTCCTTTGGGTTGTCTTAATCTTTTAATCTACAGTTTTTTCCTTACTTCATGAACTAATGTTAAAATTTCTTCTTTGCAGTTGCGCGCAAAGAAGAACCTAGATGCGGCCAACAATGAACTTGAGATCAATCTAGACAACGCCCTAAAGGTGAGATGTGCTACCAGTGTTTTCTTTGCTTTTCTGGACGTGATGTCGTTTTGCGATTGGCTTGTCATTTGCTTTGGTAGAATGAGACTGAGTTTTAGTTTGCTGTTGGTTTTGATTTTTAGGCTAACGCAGAATTCCAGAAGAATTTGAAGAAGTTACAACAGCAAGTGAAGGTTTGTATTTCAGACACCCTCGCTATGTCTTAACTTCTAGCAGAAACAACGTGCTTTTCATTGTCATCAAGTGTTTTGTAAGTTTCTTCAGCTCCATTAGCCTGCGAACAGGTTCGGGAAACCCGCCCCAATCGCCTCGTTCTCCGTTTTCTTCAGTTTCGCATTCGTCCGCTCGCTTCGCTCACCGAATTTTTTTCCGTTTTCCCCGGGAGCCTGTTCGCAGGCTGGGTTCCATTTGATACCATCCAAAGAACAATTGTGAATGAGGCTCGGTCAAGACTGCATCACAGTTAAGACTGATTCAGTGATTCGCAATTCTACTGAGCTCCATGAGGCTGATTGAGTTCTTGCCATTGTTTATGACTAATGAAGTACAGCAATAGCTCCAATGTAGATTGACATATTGTGACAAGTATATACGTGGAATACATGACTTGATCTACGACTTCTTTACGATAACAACTAGAAACAAAAGTTTATTAAGATATGTGGCAACACGAAACAAGAATGGCAGTGATTGGCAGAGATTTAGGGGTATTACGAACGTGAAAAAATTAGGTTTAAACACGGGGACTCCCACGTAAAACATCCCCGACCTTTTCACACGGGAGTTCCCCTCTCCCCCGTAGGTTTAGAGTCTAAGTTGCTCGCGTGTAGGAATGGGGTTTACATGACACTATACCGTCACAATAGTTTCACAATGGTAGTAATTGGCTTGTCAATTTTCTTGTTTTGTGTAGGATCTGCAAATGATGGTTGAAGAGGAACAACGTGGTCGGGATGATGCCCGTGAAGCCGCCGCCAAAGCTGAACGCCGTGTCGGTGAGATCAACTCGGAGCTGGATGAACTTCGAAGTCAGCTGGAACAGGTACGTGTCTGGCTGTCATAGGCAAACACGTGATTTGGTGTGAGATTTTGCGGGATTGAAACCTCTTTAGGGTTCTGTGAAGAATGGCGAAGGAAAAAAAAAAACAGCACTCGCCGTTGTTCACGATGGTCCCAGATTACAGCGGCTATATTTTTGTGGAGTCAAAATAGGCCATATTCGTATTCTCGGTATTGGACTGGAACTAGCTTGAAATGGAGGCTCATGCAGGGGGAATATCATTAAAAAGCGACAAAAGTCATTTGCATTTGAAAAAACTCCCCAGATTAGCCTCAGTTGCAAGCTAGTTCCAGTCCATTATTGAGAATACGAATATGGCCTATTGCACGAGAACAGTGGAATGGATATTCATAAACTTCCCAACAGTGTTCGATATTCTTCGAGTTATACATACCTCGAATTATCAGAGTAGCTCTATTGAGCTAATATTTTTACCGGCCACTAAGGCCAGTAACGGTGGTGACTATTAGGACGATTTGATGTGACCACTTGCTTGTCCTTCGCCAGGCTGAGCGACTTCGCAAGATAGCCGAGCAGGAGAAACAAGAGGCAGTGGACAACATGGCCCAAGCCACAACCCAGGTCAACACCCTCACCCAAGCCAAGCGTAAACTGGAACAGACAATCAGCAGCTTGCAAGAGGAGGCTGAAGATCTGGAGAATGAAGCTAAGAATGCTGATGACAGGGCCAAGAAAGCTGCTATAGAGGTACGTTTTAGCTTATGTTGTTTGTTGTCACAAATAAGAGCTTTGGCAGGGTTACCCCGAACGGAAGTAGATAATTACGTTTATCTTTGATAACTGCACAACCACAAAGGTACAGAAAGTACCTAAAATGGCTCAGTGACCCCGCTTGCGCTCGCCAGCTAAGTTTCGAGAGAGCTGCTGACCCATAAAGTGGGGACCCCCCCCCCCGGAACCCTCTTGAAATGAACACGGAACAGAAACGCCACGCTTCCACACAGAGTGTGGGCGCTACGAACATGCGTGCTTACACGGCCAAGACCTCATTACTACAAAGAATTACGTTACTGAACACTTTATCATTGTTGTTAAAATTCCATTTAACGTTGTAAAACAGGACGATATTGAAAACATAGTAAATGTGGCGACTTTGTGTTTACAGTTGGCCCGCGTGCAACAAGAACTGGCACAGACTCAAGACCGCCTGGCTAATTCTGAAAGAGGCCGCATGTCGGCCGAGCGCCAAGTCAAGGATCTGGAGGTCAAACTTGAGGAACTTGAGGCCCAGGGCGGTAAAGCGCTCAAGAATCAAATCAAGAAATTAGAACAGAGGGTAAGTCAGTATTATTTCAACTGTTCTAAAGTTACATCAGTTCTCGATACCCTCTTTTATTAGGAACAGGGCAGGAAAAAACCCAGGTCCGATTGCCCGGGGCAAGGAAATTTTGCTCTTGGGCAAATTAAAAGTTTGGTGTTGGGTGGACATCTGAAATTAGCCTCAGTAGTCTTGTTAGTGACAATTTGCAATCAATTTCAAAACTTAAGAATGCAAGATGAGCAAAACAGTGAGTTGAAAACATGGATTACTGATTACAGACAGTATCTAGTGAATGATGTAGTTGATAAGGCGCAAACATTGCGCCCTTATTAGGCAAGCAATACATGTATTTTAGTGGGGGCAAAAAAACCCTGAAATTTACTGGCCCACTGGGCAACTGGATTTCAAAACTTTCTTTCCCCACCACGAGGAATCGTGTCGTGTTAACGTAAGGTTATTCTTTATATTTTGCTTTTGATCACAGATTCGAGAATTGGAAGTTGACCTGGACAGTGAGACTAGACGCGCTGCAGAGCAGCAGAAGCTCAGCAAGAAGCAGGAGAGGCGTCTGAAAGATGTGGTTCAACAGCAGGAAGAAGACCAGAAGAACATGCAGCACTTCAAGGACCAGGTCGACCGCCTTAACAAGAAAATCAAGTCCACCAAAACCAACCAGGAAGAAGCGGTATGTGCCCTTTTCTCTCCTCTTTCCTTCCCCCTCTTCTCTTCTCTTTCTCTTCTGACTTCTCATATCTCATTCTCTCCTCTACCCTGACCCTTTATCTCTACCGTGAAATTCTCCATTTGCCTCTCTTCATAACGCTTGCCGTTAACTCTCACTTAAAACGATCAATCTTACCAAAAAAAAACCCGGCTAGAAACGGGGAGATACGTTCCCTGTATAACCACTAAGCTTTAGATAAGAAAACTAGCGTCTAGTCATCGACATCAACTCTCCAAATCTAACTATTGCATTACATGTCCCCTCTTTTTAGGAGAACCTTGCTGCTCAGTACCTCGCCAAAGTGCGTAAGCTGCAGAAGGACCTGGAGGATGCCGAGGACCGTGCAGAGACCGCTGAGAGTGCGCTGAACAAGGCCCGTAGCCGCGCCCGGGCGAGCGCCGGCGGTGGAGGAGTCGGGAGGCAGACGTCAAGAGAGGTCTCTAGGCCTTTATCTCCTTTACACCACAGATATCACTCTTATAATTCGCTATTGTCCCCAACATCCAGCTTATATTCGGACAATGACTCTAGATAATCGAGTTATAATTAATTTGAACCCTAGTTTGCTTATGGAGCTTGCTTTTTATCACTTTTCCTGTGGAATGTAACCTCCTTTCTCGGTATTCATCTAACTGCTCTTGTCTTGTCATGTCACCAAGTACTCCCGTGGGTACTCCTGTCCGTGCCCCCGTCGGTACTCCCGTCGTTAACGAGGCCGTGTCAAAACCACGCGAACCCCAATTTTGAGTTTTAGTTTTCTCGAAATAAAGCTTTTTTATGATAGAACGTTGTAATGGACGCTTATTAATCCATGAGAACCAGAACCTACGAAGGTTGCAAAAGGTGTCTCCCGCAACTTGTTCTCGAAAGAAAACAGAGATTTTATTAAGCCAACTGTAAATGATATATCTGGTTAACTCTGCTGACAGATTATTTGCTTTCTTTACCTAAATAAATTAACAGACAAGGAGTCGAAAAGTGCTATTGCTCTGAATTGTAAATATTGATTATATAACATATTGCCTCGTAATTGTTTGTTTTTACCGCTAAAGAATGAAATTTGCATTAGAAAAAAAGACACGACATTTTGATAACAAGCCTGCACACGCATGGCCAAACAGACGTCTATGCCATTGTTAACGGCATTGCTCGGTTGTGTGGCTTGTCTAGTTTATGCGACAAGTTGAATCCCGTTTCAATAACAAACATTCAAGTTAGATAAACATGACCTTGAGCGAAATCTCCCGGAAAGTCGACTTCTGTTTTCAGTGGTAATTGGCATGGTTCCTTTGACAACCCTTTCGTTCCGCCTAATTGATAAACACCCTCCTACGAAAGTACAGCGATTTTAATGAAAGTTGATGGTTAGCTGACAAATTCGTTGTTTATTTAAATGGTGACATGACGAGCCAATCTTGGCGACTGTCCTTAATGTTTCTCTTGATTCTCTCTTTCTAATTCTTTTGCAAATATCATTTATGCTTGTGTTTCTATGTCCATGCTTAGCTGATCACGAGTTATTTATGTTGATATTCTTACTCGTATAGTTATTTTTTTCCTTAGCTCTGTTCGTTTATTTAAGTAATTTAAGGGGTGCCACACTTGTTTTATGGTTTGTTGTTCCTAACCAACTATGTAACATGCATACGTCTAATGACTTGAGTGACAGCTACTGTAAAGCTTAGTTAATTGGGTCAACGCCTCTGAAAACTACCGTAATATTCACGTGCGGCAGGTCAAGGAACTCAACCATTCTTGTCATTCCATCTTGAGCACCCAACACTAATATAATACAGGCGTAATATTTTGTTGTTTTTTTTGGTAGAATTTCCTCATCGTTGCATTTTAGCGTGCCGTTATTCCTTCGTCCCTTGTGCTTCTGTAGTAACTAATTTATATAAGGTTTAACGACTCTTAAATAGCCTACGTTGCAAGAGATCCCGCGAATCCCGTACGAAGAGCTTTTCGCATTCAGGCCGCGCGCACATTTTAGCGAGAGCAAAAAAATCGTGGATTGTTTTGTTCTCGCTTAAACGCTTGCTGCGCAGGCTAACTTGTAGAGGGATTCCGCATACATGTACCATTTAGTAGGGTATCGGTGGGTGTTGTTAGGCTGCACTGGGCGAGACAGTGAGTAGCTGCGATAGTTGCAGCGCCAAGTAGTGAAGTATTCCCTATTAACTGTTTCTCTCGGCATGTTTATGCCACAGAGACTCCGCAGTCCTACTCCTAGCGCTGGCGAGGATTGAAGATTGCACTTAGGTAACTGATCCGGTCAGAGATTCAGCCATCCGAACCTTGCGGTGTCGGTTCTAAGATCACCTCATTCCTTCGTACTTGTGTCAAAAGTTACTATCATCTCACCGCTCGCCCAGTGAAAGTCATATACTCCACTAAGCTCGTAACTCCTGTCATTTGTTGCATTAATCGCTTGACTACACTCTTCAGCACCCTGGATCATTGTCTCATCCATTGACATTTTTGATGTCTTGTTAAACACTTTGCACACCTTTTTCCTTGACTTTGAACACTTGCACTACAAATGGTCTGCCTCTGAAGCTGAAAATTTCGCTGCTTAGCGCAAACGCTGAATGTTTAAGTTCTGACTTGGGAATTCGGAACGACGTACCAATTGGCTGGAGGCGTGTGTGCAGGTTTCTAAGTTAGGGACGGACGTGTGCAAAGGGTTATCTGGAAGTGAGTTTCTAACCCCTAACTGTTTGTGGGATAGGTTTCCTCTAGCCGCCCTCCACAACCGATAGGCTCGAGCACACCCTTGAGAAGGGTAAGCACTCTTTCTCCCTTTGCACCTGTTCACTGTGTGCTTAACTGCTAACATTTTGCCGGGATATATTCCAAAAACATTGCCACAAATTGGCATCACTGATGTGCGGTAAAAGTGGCCTATATCTGTCCCCCTCTTGGTAGACACCTCTTAAGACAGTCGCCTCCTGCGTGGCTATCTAAAAGCACACCTGACCCTAAATCTAAATGAAATCGGGTTCAGTGACTATTGGGGATTTTCCCCTTTAAATTATCGCATTTAAGTTAACTGCGTAGAATAGATCTTTCCAAAACAGCCCCACCCCAGCCCTCGCCCAACCTGGTCTCATTTATTATCGGTGTCTACCCTAAAATAAGTTCTGTTTTAAACCTCTGTCTGTTTGTTGTTCGAACTAATTTCGTTGTTTTTTTTTGTTTATCTCTGCAGTCTTCCTTCAGCCGAGGGCTTTCTGCTTCTGGCCGTAGTCACTCATCAACGTCAATGGATGACAGCATGGACTCCTGAATTAATAATCTGAAATTTTATGATTACGAACGCAGTTTGAGGTTCAAAATGATTAAGGACAGGTTATAGTCCACTAGGTTTCGATTAATCGTGTCAAATGCTAGTTTTTTTAATGCCTTATGTCTTAGGAAAATAGATTTTGGAGGAGGATGGTTTGACCTCGCAAATATTTTCTACAAAATTTGGAATATGTAACATTCCATAGAAAAATATCGGTTAGTTTGTAACGCTATTTGTGACTCGAGGATCTCTTTCCGAGAACTCGTGGTAGTTTTTCTATTTTGTCTACCCAAAAAAATATTGCAGCTCATTAAACACCTGCTTATTCAACTATCGTGTGTTTTTTCAATGGTTCTTATTTTAAGGGTCCTTTTACAATATCTGTCCCCTTTTCTGAGACCGGGAAAGTCGGAATGGCGAGGGAAAGTAGAAAATGGCGTAAAAAAGTGGCAAAGAAAGCAAGGAGCTTCTTCTGGCTTTCTCTTCTTTTCAGCGCCGATTATTTCCTCGCTGTCCCGACAAAACCAAGCCCAACAAACTGTCTGTGGCCCCGGATCTCAAAGGGTACACCTTTCTACGATCCAATGATCTTAGGGCTTGTCACGCAATCTTTAATCGACTTTTCCATAACGATTTGTTGGATGTCACGCAAAGTTAGTTTGGGAAAAAATAACTGAAGCTCTTGTTTAATTTGCTTACTTTAAGGTGACAAAGGGTAGCCAGCCAGTATCGTATGATAAGGGTCTGATAATTGACGCTGGCCACACACAGTTCTTGAACTCTTGTTAGTCAGAGTATGTTTTGGTTTTCTCTCATCGCAGAATGAACAATATGCTTTTCTAAAATAGGTTCATCATTTTTCACTTTTAATCGAGACTAAAAGTGACAAAAGGCAGCCAGTCAGTATCGTTTGATATGGGTCTGATAATTGGCGCTGGCCACAGACAGTTGGACTCTTGTTAGTCAGAGTATGGGTTGGTTTTCTCTCATCGCAGAATTAACAGTATGCTTTTCTAACACGGTCCCTGCAATTTTTTAGTCCGCCATTATTTACCATTAACAATATCCTGAACGTGTCCAACCGGAGGCTCCCCAGGCTCAAGTTTGTCATCAGATGATCATCTTGCGTAATGTCGGTCATTGCTAAAATTAAAGTTGAACTTGAACTTGAACTTAAGTTTGTTTGGCAATTGTTACAGTCCGACAGTACGAAGTTGAAATACTGGCAAGTTCTCAATAAAATAATTATCTTTCCTTCATGCTGAATTGTATGTTGTCAGTTTGCCTAAGCTGCTTTCAGGGGCGGATCCAGGATTTTTCTTAGGAGGGGTGCACCACTAAGGAATGGCGTAACTGACTGGTGACGAAGAAGGCTTGAGCATCCCCTGCACCCTCCCCCTAGATCCGCCCCTGATTTTAGAATCAGGGAGTAGGGGAACAAACAACAAACTATGTTGTGTAGAAATTATTTGTACTTCTGCTTCATGCACCGATCTTAAATGTTCCCGTACAAACCCTTTCATTTTCGCCATGAACGCTTATTACATACGGTGATTATCTCACAGCTTGGCAATTGGGCGGCCTGCCATGCAACAAATCAGATTCTCCCTAACCCACCCCCTCCCCCCAGCTCCCAGTCCATCTCTGGCCCTCTGGCTAATCGCCGATGACTGACATTTCAGGCTAATGAACAACGCGTCAGCTTGCAGTTTTTTAGGCTGACCGTGACGAATTGCGTGACATATTTAGTCACGCAATACATATTGAGGTGTCGGGAAATGAAATATTATAGAAAGCAGGAGCCCATAAATCAATCTCGGCCAACATGCAGCCTTAAGAAAAGACACATACAATAAGAGCAAAAAAGAGGGATTGTGTGGGGCTAGGCTGACAAGTAAAAAATAATAAACGTCATCGAATTCGCGTTATTAACGTTTGACCTTTAATAACGTCTTTGTCCTAATATCGGCACGTACACTCTTTGTTTTTTTTTAATTCAAGAATCTGTATTTCTCATGATCAAGCCCAGGATAGATAATCTTTTTTTCCGCCGACTTTAATAGGCTAAAATATTCTTGTGCGCATTCTTAGATTGCAGAGAATAAAACATGCATGCAGTTTACTTTTAAAGATAAAACGGACCTGGAATTGACTTGTCAAATAAAACTGTATGGTATCTGTATCGTGTTACATTGCGCACGTCCTTTTTTCGCTTCACCTTATATTTAGCTAAAATTGCTTTTTTGCTGTTTATATTAGAAAAAAAAAATGAATTTACCATACTTTTCAATTGTAAAATAATTCATTTAAAAATAATCTGTGATTTTGTTGTATTTCATTTTCCATCCATATGTTCTTAACAAAATTTCAGCCTTGGGTATATTGATACATTCTTTTCAGATTTTGTTTATTTTAGCCTCGATGTACTCGGAACTGAGAATTGTTACAAAACAAACAGATTGTATAAATGATGTCCAGTGGCTCTGAAGAGAAGGTTATCTCTGTTCTCTTTGGTCACCGGTTTAATATCCGGCAATGAACAGACAGCTCCATCTCTCCCACGTAGTAGCTCCCTGGTAGGCATATTCCCTGGTTAAAATAAGAGATTTGGTACACGACTGAAAAATATTCCAGATTGGAAGGACCGGCCGTAAAGAAAATTGTAAGAAGTTGAAATGGTATCTTTTGCCTTGTAGCCCGCATAAGGCTACAAGGAAACGTCGAGGGTGGCTTCATTCGGGAAAGTGCCCGCTCCAATACTTAGAAAATTAATTATAAAATATTGCCAAAAGAGCAATCTGGTTGGTTGGTCTAATATCAGCCCCTTATTTATATACGCAAATCTTGCTAACCTTGGGAATAATACACTGTTTTACTTAAGCTTACCAAAACCTTCTGAAAGTTCAAATAGCTTATAGATAAGCCTTTTGTTCGCTTTAACTTGTTTACTTTTTCCTGGGGTCTATGCCAAGGCCTTCCGCCCAGTTTTCCGCCGGCTAATGCACCTCATTTGCTCGCCCTGCTATTGGCTTGTTTTAACCACGTGACACATAGGTGAAAACAAATGCGCTTATTTAAATATGTTTGCCCCATATCTCTGAGCTCTTCTTTCACGCCTTCGTCTCTCAGTCATAGTGCTTTCCCTGCCCTGTCTCTCCTTTTCCAATGAACAGCATTGTAGAAACGATAACTAAAGAAATAATAAGTCCCTTGCTCAGACTCACTCAGTGCTGTGATCTTGATTGCATAATAGTTTCCCGTTAGCTTTATTTTGAGCATTTCCACCGATCAAATCATTCAGCAACAATCGCCATGCATTTCAAAGCGCTGATGATGGTCGTGCAAAGCTTGGACGGCGACTCTAAAGAAAAGAAGCGGGCGAAAGCTTTGAGTCGTCCTTACGCAAGAGTTCCAACTTATCAGGTAAGTTAAGTTTATCCCTTGATATCAAATGTTTCTTAATTTTAGCCTTTTACCGAGCGACGCAACACCACTATTTAAATACCTTGTTCATAGATTTGAATATCAAAAGAGACCGAGGCGCTTGAAACACATTGCGATTTCTTCCTTCGTTTTGTGTGTGCGATTCAAATTTTCAAAGCAGGAGCTTCTAAAGAAACTTTTTCGAATGCCACGTCGGGGTACAGGATGCATATGTGAGTGAAATACGACATATATCAAATTCACGTTACGTTTTCACTCAGCAGGCGTAATTTTGCTTTGTTTTGAATTTAAAATTAATTTATGCCCCTTCGACAAGTTTCTACAGCTCAGACAGTATCTATGGAACGCCTAATCAAAGCTTATCATTACAGCAAAAGTTTTGATACTTCTAAATTTAAAAAGCGGAAAGGAGATGATATCGAGAGGAAAGCAGATTATCAACAGGGGTCCACTAGGGAAAGATGGAGCTCTACGTAACTTCTTTTATGCCGTAATCTGTTCAATTCTCTGTTTGTACTAACTGCAAAGAAATATGTAAATATGAGTTAGGAGAATCGATTTTTTGAGTTAGGAATGAAGGAGTTTATAGTAGTAGTTGAAGGCAGAAATCGTTCAAAGAAATTTAAGCTCATATCCAGGTCAGTAAATTAAAGGTCAGGGTATTTCAACAGATTTTTTTTACGTGGAGTCAACCCTATTGCGAATCAAGAACTGCGGAATAACTACTTCGTACAAAATGTAAATATCCGTATTAGTTGCCAAGGGGGAAATAAGTTCTTTTGTCTGAACTCTGAAGGCTAACATTTCCATATGAAAGGGCGGTATCTAAAAAAAACAAAATCACTTCAGACACGTACTAAATCCCAGAACGACGACACGAAACGACCGAAACCAAACCTTATGATTACAGAGCTGTTTTATTCACATATTCTTGACAATTAAACAGAGGTTCCCTTCATACAAGATGTTTCAGGCATATAGACCGCTCTGTCTTTAAATACCGATTATCTAAAAATGGCTTTTCGGGCCCGAAAAGTTTTCGGGACTTTCGAGAAACAGGCCCAGAGCTAATCGTAGATCGTTATTTCCGACCAACAGCTACAAATAAAAGTGCCAAGTAAAATAACTGGAGTGCACCTGCGGTGATCTCGTTTCGTTTCTTTTGTCGGTTGTTTTGTTCCTTTCGGCCGTTTTGTGTTTCGTTCAGGTTACCTTTCATTGTTTCTTCCGCGCAGGAATACTGTAATATGGAAGCAACGTGTTAGTTTAGGGTTTGGGGTTAATCATCACTGGTTTTGTAGCATGTTCTTTTTGTGCTAGCTCTTGCATTTTAAACACTGGTGTGTTCAGATGTTCCTGAACTCATTGCATTGTACATCAAATGTCAACCATGATTTCTAATTATTCATCAAAGTTTAGAATCCTATTTTTTTTTGGCTATCCTACAAAGTGGGTGGCAAGGGGTATAGATATGCATTACCATGATGAGGGCAAAAATTAGTGTGTGGCATGACATGTGATAGGCAACTAAATGACATGTGTTAGTTCATAGAAACCAAAAAGCATTGTTAACAGCAACTAACAGTATGTGTGATGCCTGAATTTTGTCAAAATTTGTGCATGAAACAGGATGATTGATTCACACCCCTTTCCCCTTAGCTACCTGCTTTGAATTTTTTTTCTCATCTGGTTGCCCATCACTTTTTCAAAGTCGTTTATGATTTGCAAAATTATGAAAGCTAGATTAAGAATGAGACTACTGTTCTCTTTGCCTCATCAGTTGATATCATAGTGTGGTGTACAGTGCAACACAGAATTAAGTGAACTGTGCGAGCTTTCTCAGTTTCCCCGGCTTTTTTTCAAGTATACACGACATGTGGCAAAACGCATTCAAATGCGTGTATAAAATGATATGCACACGTATGACGTCTCTTTGTTATTCATTCCCATAAGTTTTTTTATATGAAGTATTGTTGGACAAACAAATGCCATTTCTGGGAGTAAAAAAGTTTCAGACTTAACACAAAATTTGCATGTTGGGAAAGCTATCACATTTCGAGTTTTCAAGCCTGTCACAAATTCACTGAAAAGCTACTCGTTATTAACACTTGTTTGGTCTTAAGCTACCAACAAGTTGAAAAGAAAATTGAAACAGTCGCTTGAACTCCTGGAAGAGGTTCTAAGATTTCTTCCATCAATAATAAAATAAGGAAATTAAAAAATAATGTTTGAGACCAAGGTGTTGATCAATTCTGTTTAAATAATTGCTTAGACTTTTACTGCAGCAGTGAAAAGAGAAGTTAATTAAAACAGTTCCTATTTCCAAGAGTTTACGTTTGTTCAGTTTTTCTTTAAAATCTGATTCAGTTTAAACTTAGTAAAAGGTCTGGGTCTGTTTCACTTAGTGCATTTTTAATCTTATCAATTGCAAGGAATGCGAAGTTGACGTGGAGATGACAGATCAAAGCTACCATCAGAAGACAGAAATTGAAAATGTCTCAGATGAAACAAAGTCAGAAACAGAGGTATGGATTGTTTAGATATTACTTAACAGTTCTAAATGCATCACAACATCGCCAGCTCCCTGCAGTTGGCTTGATAGCTCAGTTTTTAGACCACTCTACTGGTATCATATAGGTCATGGGTGCAAATCCCCTTCAGGCCTGGATTTTTTACGGGCTTTATTTTCAGGACTTCAAAAGCTGCATAGATTACATAATTGTGATGATCTCTTGTGTCTTTTAAAATAATGCATTGAAGAAAGATTGTGGCTAAAATTTGGTCGTTTCTTTGTTTCAGCCGTACTTCCAATTTTGGCTGATTTTTCGCCTTGGTCTTCTAAGTGGCATGTTCTTTGTGTTATTTGCTGTGTTGATTATAGCAGGTATGATGTTAATCATCATTTCTTAAACAAAAAAACTATACATTTCAGAGGTACATGTGGAAACAGCTTAGTGCCTTTCTCACAACTGTGGCACAAACCAGAGTTGTCCTGCTACCCCAAGGCTGGATGATAGTCTGCTAGTGATCTAAACACTTCGCCAGTATCCACTGAAATAGGTGCTGACTGTAAACTGTCTTTTCCAAGAACCAAACAGAAGTAACCCATACACCATTGGTGCAGTGGATGGGGGATGGGGGGGGGGGTGCTCCCAGGGATTTTGGGGAACAAGGGAACATGATCATTTATTTCAAGGGAACAAGGGATATTTTTAGGATTAATTTTCGGGATTTAATAATTTTCAGGAACAAGGGATACAACGTGTATCTCTGTTATTAAAGGGAACTTTGACAAACAAGCTAAGGGAACCGTGGAATTTATTAATAGAGACCAAGGGAAAAAAAGTGAATTTTCAAAGGTCAAGGGTTCATGTTACCCCCTGACAGGCCCAAACAAGGACTCTGTGGACTACTGGCCTTCTCACAGCAAATCACAATTTAAGTTTTAATGTGTATTTAGGTATGCTATTTTGGTTTGTGTCAAGATTAAGGAAGATTTAATGCAGAAATGCTATTGTCTGTCAATCATGTGCACTTGAGGCAGTTATAAATTTTGGCAGCCAGAAAAAGGGCACTTGTTGGACAAGGGCACTTATTTGGGTGGGGCGGTTATTCTATTATTATTTTGACCTTGGCATACGCAGAGTAAAAACTGTAAACTAGATTAAATCTACTCTAAGGGATATAAATTACAGAGGAATCTTGATTTTCTCAAACTCTCAATTTTTCAAATTGTCCTATAACATAACTCCAACCAATGTCATTTCCCTCCGCTCAGTGGATCACCAATCAGTTGAACACTGTAATTTTACCCCCAATTCTCAAACTACCATTTTTTTCAAATTAATTTTCATTTTCCTTGGAGGTTTGAAAAATCAGTATTTCACTACATAACTCTTTTAACTAACAAAAAAAAAATTGTTCTAGGCTCAAAACTCAGCTAGTGAAGCTTAATATGCTGGACTTTGATTGTACATTATGGGAACAAATTGCCAAGTCCACTCATTCAAATAAGGGGCTGATTGATAAGAATAGGCTAGCGTTCTTTTTTTTCAAAAGTACATGTATCTTCTACTGAGTGCATTTTATGATAATGGAGTACACCCTTAGTGGAAAAGAGGGTGCAAAATTCACCATTTCTATTCTAATTTGTTTATTATTTGTTTATTTCTTATTTGCCTTTACAGCCATTAAAGCTGACAAAGACATCCAGTGGGAGCCTGCATTCCGCATGTACAGAGGACTGTTTCTGTTTATACTGGAACTGTTTCTGTTTGGAATCAATCTGTATGGCTGGACATATGTGGGGATTAACCATGCCCATATTTGTGATTTAAAGAAACATCTCTGCCCTCTACGAGTGTTAGAGGTAAAATCAGTTTGTATGTGCAAAGATAGTTAGTGGAGTTAAATCGGTAATTATCCCCGAAACTCTAAAATTGATATGACACATTTTGTTTCTAAGAAAAATGGTTACTTTGGAATTGATTATCGTGCTTTCTTCACCTGTTTGTACACTTAAGAGAGAGTATTTGTATTTGGCTGTCAATATGTTTTTTTTGTTCTTGTAAATTTAGGTTGATGTAAGGATTAGAGGAAAAGAATTCAAAGTCTTTTACCAGAAACACTATTTTTGAAACTCTCTTATAAGTGAAGTTTTTAACATAACGCGATCATTTGCAGATCTGAACTTGTACTTGGAGCTAATCTTAAGCTGATTTCGATGTGGCCGTGTATTACACATATCTTAATTTAATGTTAGCTTCATCTCTCTACAGATGGCCACATTCTTTTTTGTCATGTGGGGTGCAAGTGCTGTGGTCTTCCTTTTCTCAGACCAGTTTGGAATTTCCAGCTACACCCATCCATTAGCGTTGTCGTGTTTCTTCTTGATATTTGCTATAAATACACTGAATGTTTGGTTCAGACATGCGAGGTTCTGGCTTCTCAAGGCCTTGGTAAGTAGCACATGATTAAGCTGGGGTTTGTGTTTGTCTTGGATTCGGCCACACCCATTTATGAGATTTTCTATGTGCCTAAATTATTGTGGAAATTTTTGTTGTTAAATAGCATGCACTGAATTCTTTACCTTACAAAACTGCTTATGTAATATTTTTATATTTTATTTTCAGTGGAGAGTGTTGACTGCGCCATTCCACCATGTAGCATTTGCAGACTTCTGGCTTGCAGATCAGTTGAACAGCCTGGTTGTAGCTATACTTGACATGGAGTATCTGTCTTGTTTTTACGCACTTGATTTTTACTCTGTTCAAGGTGAGATCAAGAACCATTGGCAGAATTTCATTTTTGTTTAGCTCATATTCGGCTCTCTTTTGCACTCACTGGGCTCAGTAGTGTATGCCTCAGCCCCTCTGATAAATAAAGCTGATAATGCTGAAATGCCCCACCATCAAACAAATGCACTTTTAATCTCATTAGTAGCACTACATGTAGAATCATTCCAGTCAAACCAGACAGACTTAATTTTTCTCCACCTTGGAGCTCTTCAGAGGTGTTGGTTTCTAAGGAAACTGTTGGTCTTCTTATAAACTTGAAGTTGATAAAAATCATTTAACTACTGCAGCGAGTTTATGAAGCTGAGGTTTCAAGTATTTATCAGAGCACGGTGCCAATGCCCAAAAACATATCATGCGGAGGAAAATGAGCTCACAAAGAGAGTTTGTTTTCTAACAAACTTACTCTTTGAGTATCAGCTATCAGAAAGCCTTTTCTGATGTTTTTCTCTCTTTTCTAGATCGTAATAAATGTGGTACCAAACTTTACGGACTAAGACCGCTGATTGCTTGCCTTCCTGCCTGGTGGCGCTTTGCACAGAGTCTGCGCAGATATAATGATACCAAACAGAAATTTCCACATGTCGCCAATGCTGGGAAATATGCCACCACGTTCTTTGTTGTCTTCTTTTCTACAGTGGCGACAACTAACAAAGGTATCACCAAAAAATGCAGCTTTGTATGTAAAAGGGACAGCTTTTAAGTGGTCTCATTAATCACAAAACTATTAGATTCCACCTGAAAAGATTCCTTGTGGTGACATACCTCCTCATAGATTTGTGTATTGTTCTGATTGGTCGAAGTGTGGCTTTGAAATGTCCCACCCACCTGTCTACCAATCAGAATTGCACAGATCATTCTCTGTACAGCTATACCATCAGTGGATGACTCTTTTGAGCGAAGCATGCAAAGGGGTTGATCACGGTCAAATGACAAATTTAAAATAAAGAAATGTGCGTTAAAGCCAAGGTTATCTTTTAAGCTGTTCAGTTCTTGCTGATTTAGTGAATTTTTTGGAACTTTATCTAAAAAGAGGTTGTTGCATGATGTGTCATTTGTCAAAGCAAAGTTGTTCGGGTGTGCATGTGCGCCTTGTGCAGAGCGTTTAAAAGCATAGAAACTCGTTGACTTGAGAGAAATGAAAATCTTCATACATGTACATTCAGAAACTATTTTATATCTCGTTGCGCATGCTTTCACTTCATCATGAACGGAATCTTAAAAAAAGAAAACCTGCCTCCAGTCTTTGANCGCGCTCGTTCGATTTTGAAATCACGCGTATGATTTCAGACCAAATTGCACTCCACTCAGTTCAATTACCATTATTAAGTGACCCCGCAATTAAATTCTCAAGCATTCTCAAGAAAGTTAATGTCAAACCTCGTAAGAATGCTTCAAGCCTGTGTTATTGTGTTTTTAACTAACGCGAAACCTCTATGAAATATGGATAACTTCAAGTTCAATTTTCTCTCGCGGGGTCAGCTTGAGAGCTTAAGTCTCGATATGCCATGCCATGAGGTTCTTTCGGTACGTTAATTTTTGCCATTGTTGCTCGAATGTTCTGCGGAAATCATCATAAATACTCACCTGGGTAGAAACTCGCTTTGAAATCTCTTTGGGCATCCCTGGAAGGGCTGTATAACTTCCTTTTGAACATCAAGTTAAGTTCTAACAAGTTTGTGCTTTTTCTTTTTGTTTTCTTTTCTACAGAGTTTCTATTACTTCGCTGTGGTTAGCGACCTTTTTCTTCGCTTGTCCTGGGTCCTAACCATATCAGTTGGTGAAGCGGGGCTCTTTCATTCGGAAGTGTTAACAGCTTTACTGGCCGTGTTGGAAGTATTTAGGTGAGGAAGCTTTAACCTAATTCTTGTCGTTGTAAAAACTCTAAAGTAAGCGCTCAAGAGCTAAAAATTATTTACAACTGAAGAAAAACAATTTTCAGATGACTTTCATATGTGGCTGAACAGTCTTAGCAGAAAATGATTGGAAAATTGTTCTTTGTTGAAACTTAATCAAATTCACTGTCTTAACCGAGTTTGATACCGATTGAAGGCGGCGTGGTTAGGGCGCTGGGTTTGTTATCTGGAGGTCTTGGACTCAAATTCTTCACCCTGCCGCTGGGTGGATAGTGGGCCTGAATTCAACTCTTCCACGCTATCTTTAAATTGTCAACTGGTCAGAAAGTGATTATTTTTTATTGTGATCAACCAAACCAACCGAAAGATGTTTTCTCCAATAGAACACAACCTAACGACAATTCTATGCAATCAGAATATCGCAAAGTTCTTAAGCAATCTGTAGTTTTAGTAAGAATCTGTGTTTTCTTTGCAGGCGATTCATATGGAATTTCCTACGAGTGGAAAACGAGCATTTGAGCAGATTAAAAGGGGCAGTCGATCACAGCGAAGAAGAGCTTAGAGAATACGACGAAGATACCGAATCTCAACAAACAGATGAATGATCACGGGATCACTGAAAAGATCTTTTGGGGGATTCTAAGAGATCTTCAATCTTCCTCGGTGAACGAAAGAACGGCGTGACAGTCTCCACATTGGCGGCCATGAGGCAAACAGACTGAAATGCTGGACCGTTAAAATTTTATGATCAATGTATTTGACGGGTCCTGCAACTTTTTGATCCATAAAGAGATGACTGAAGTTGGGTTTTATTTCCCCAGATAAAAGTTATATAAATATGTATAATATTAATATTTAAATGTAAATTGTTACTTTTTGATATAAATTGAGAATATTGGGAAATATGGAACGATTATGATTTCAAACAATTTTCATTACATGTGTATTTTTTTTCGGGGGTGTTGTTTGTTAGGGGAGGAGGTAACTCTCTAATAGAGATATTTTGATGTGACATCGGAAGGGAACGAAATGGAGAGTTTTTCCCAATGGCTTTTTGTTTGCTTGTTTCAAAGGAGCTGTCCTTTTATTTTTGATTGACTAATTCAACCAGGAAGCCATTCAATCACTCGAATCATAGTGCATCAAAGGAACTGAAGAATCCTTTCCCGGAGTGGACTGTTCAGCTCCTTTGATGATCGCAGTGATCTTAATAGTAAAATTATGAATTCAATTTTTGATTTTGCCAAGGAAACGCAGCCTAGGGGAAAAAAGTGTAGCAAGCGGTCTTATTATATGTTGAAAGACTGAACAGCAACTTTTGCACTGATTTGCAAAAATTAGTTGCATTTCAATAAGAAACATTTATATATATTTATATAAATATATCTAACGTAGGCCCCGTCCACGGCGTTTTCACTCTTAAACCCATCAAATGTTTTCTGTCCACACTACGCCCGAGAAAATTTGAAAACGCAACAATCACCGGTCCTTGTGGATCTGTATTTGTGGGAAACTCGGGTAGGGAAATCACGTGATTATCGTGACGTCATCGTGTTCGAAAAGCTCCGTTTTAAAAATGCAAAATGTTTTCCGTCCACACGAAAACGCTAAGTCGGTATTATCAAATCCCTTTGGGTTGAAGAGCGTTTTCGGAAAGCCCCGTTGTCGTGTCGGATTAAGTGTGGACGGTAGGCCTAACCGTAGACGTAAAGTTGCGTTTCAAAATTTCTCCAGCGTATCGTGGTCAGGGCCTGGAATCGTGCCTCGAGAAGGAAAAGTTTTCTTAGAATTGTTCTGATCGGTTTGTGTTTGCAGACCTTTCAAAACAAAAAAAGAAATTTTGGCGTACTGTTATCTTCGTTAACTAATTGAAGTTGAAGGAACAAGCACGTTCGTTTTAGAGGGTGGTGTATTAAGGCGTTGGTGTTGGGTCAAAGATATAATTTAGACATTTCAACTAGTGTTGAAGAAAATGCTTTTCATACTAAGTATGACTTAATGAATTAATTCAAATAACTACACCTTGGTTGACTTTTTAGTTTGAATTAATATTTTGCCCTAATGTTTGGAATTCACTGCATAAAGGACTGAAAGGAGATACGTCAGGGCTTGCGCATCTTAAAAAGTAACGCCTAAATTGTTCAGATTCCTCGTTTTGGTCGGGTCATAAATAGGGTAGGGAAAATCGCAGATTCGTCATAAATAGGGTAAGGGTTTTGTGAAGTGGGCTACACACCCCTAACCAATTTTTCTGGAAGTTCCCCCCCCCCCCCGGGGGGAGGGGTTATACCTTATTTCTTCTTTACATTTGAGTACAGTCCAACCGTGTCGAGAAGTGAAGCTTGCTTTCGGTCAAGAATGCACCTTAGTAATGTTCGAACTAGACTCGTTCCTATACCCGTACCCCTCAACCGACGTTCCATGGCCTTCTCCTCGACGATTTTCAAAATGGGGGCTCCCCAGGCGAAGCTGGATCACGTGGTACAATTTCTCTCCCGCCCGCCCCCAGTTTGAGGGGGGGGAGAAGACCCCGGGGACGAGGTTGTTGAAGTTCAGAGGGGAAATGTCTCGCTAAATTTCCAGTCCGATATTTCTATTTTATTTTTTACTACTTCCAGTTGCCAGCTCGAAATTTTATTATGAAAGCCAGTCCTGGGCCAGACCTTCATTAGCTGTACTCAGGTGTCAGTGTCACCATCCATCCAAACAGCTGTTCAGAGAACGCTCCTGAGCCGCCTGTTCTGTTGGACCTGTCAGCGGTTCAGTCAAAGCATGCTCAATGCCGCACTAGCCGGCGTGGAAATTGCACCATTTCTCGTGGGTCATCGGAGAAAAAAAATATTACAGTTCTGAACTATCAAAATATCTTCAAGCAACCTCGATCAAGGGATGGATCCTAATAATTCAGACGCAAACGCACCAGATTCGTGGGATTCCTTAGATGATCCTGGCCCAGGGGAGACGAGTGAAGATACAAGCGATCTGAATGCGCGACTACATTCACTCAATGTGAACGCAAAACCTTTCATTCCAAACGTGAATGCCCCTGCGTTTGTTCCTTCATTTCTTAAAACTGCGGCATCTAATGGTAAGGATTAATTTTCTTGCTTAATGTTCGTCCCGTAGGCGTTTTTGTGGTGAAAAGTATTGAAGATCTGGCGTTGTTTTGTTAACTTTGTTTTAGGTTTTGATATGACCACGATCATGCACGATGTAAGTCTGTTGGCCCAGCTGGAATCTCAGATGAAAGCTTACGTAATCAAACCTCCTTTTTGTCTATGAGATCAACTATAGAATTGATCTGTAGACACAAGATTCAAAAGATTTGCACTTTTGTAACCCCTTTTACTTTGTAGCTCTTACATTTTAATGTGGCCATTTGTTTGCCAACTACGTTCATTGCCCCTTAATTTAAGATGATAATTAATGAATCAAGGCCTAATTTATTACAGCTACACCATCTACAAATGGCGATGTAGTGTCAGAAATTACTGAAAAAGATGAACATCAAATGATCATAGAGGGTAGGCTGTCAATTGTTTGCTGAATCTATTAGTTGTTTGCTCATCTGGTACATGTATGTGTCCCGAAAATTACTTCCCTTAATTACTGTAATTTTGACCTCTATTAAGCGGTCACCTCTATTAAGCGGTCGCGGTCACCTCTATTAAGTGGTCGCGGTCACCCTTTACTAAGTCCCAATGAGCTTTTTCTATTGTCTTGACCTGTATTAAACAGTCACGCGATGTCAATTACTTGTTCATGCAGTTTCATATAATGTAACACGCGAGGTGCAACAACTGATTTCCTTGTTTATTTTCACAAATCTTTAAAACACTGAAAATGAATTTTTCCAATTTGGTCAATTTGAGGTCAAATGTCTTTTTAGCACTGATTTTATTTGAAATGTTTTTCTTGCAACCTGTATTAGGCAGTCACTCTGTATTAAGTGGTCACTTAGCCATTCCCCGAGGGTGACCGCTTAATACACGTTCGACTGTATATATATTTTACTATTGGGATTTCTATTAATATATTTTTAATTTGTTGTTAGATTATTTAGATACTTTCATAAGTTTAGTTTTTGATTAAGTACAGTAATTGAGTTTGTGCGGATGAAAATTTTTACATTGATATTGGCACAACAGAAGTTAATAAATATTGTTATTATTACTACTGTTATTATTAGTGTTATTATTATGATGATGATGATGATGATGATGATGATGATTATTTTCTACTGGCTAAAGAATGAAAGAAGTGGAAAACATTTTTCTCTCACACATCTGGGAGTCTGGGTGCTAGTGTCCTGGGGTTAGGTCACATGGTTTGTTGTTGTTTGCCAGTTTTCTTGTGGCCGTTTGCCATTGCCTGACCTCCCACCCACCCACCCACCCTTCTAGCTTGATAGTTATTTGCTTCTCAAGGTCATTTAGTTTACTCTTTTTGTTCTTGTGAAGCCCTTGTTGGGCTGTGAGTTTTCATTTTCGGTAGTTAATAGAATTTTTTTTGCAGCATATAACCCCAGTAGCATCTTTTCCTGGGGTCACTTTCTTGTTCAGTAGGAAAGAGCAAAAAACTCATAAGATGCATGACACTACTGACAGTGTCACTTTCTTGTGCTATAATTTACACGTTTTGTAGTAAAGGTCGGGCTGCATGGTTCAGCTTGGCATAGCTCCCAGTTGTGTGTGAGAAGTTAATATTTTGGTTTGCTGGATGTTAGCCTGAGGGTGAATATTTTGCTGTGCCTTTCAATAACATGCAAACTTTGCTCAATCAAGGGTTTCGTGTTTTGCTACTGTCAATCATCTTAGCACATCTCTGAGAAAACATATTGTTTTTTCAATGGGTTCATAAGGTCGCATCTGTGGGTTTTGATTGGTAGATTTTGATCCATTTTGTTCGTTTCTGTTTCTCAAGGTTTGTTGGTGTTCGTTGTAATCATTGTGATTGATGATAGCCAAAAGTGCTGTAACTGGTCGTTTAACCCCCTAGTCAATTCGCCCCTGACCTTTTCACCCCCAACTAGAAGTCGATTAGCTCCCACCCAGAAGTCAAAAACTGTCTATTTCCTGTTCTTTAAGTTTGAATATGGGGGTTGATCAACTTCTGGTTGGGGGCTAAGTGGCTAGGGGCTAATCGCCTTGGGAGCTAAATGACCGGTAACCAAAAATGCCAGCATTAGTTAGGTTTAGATCTTCAGAGTTTGCTTTTTATTGCAAGGCACAGTAAACTCTTGCAATAAGACAGTCTCTCCCCTCCTCCCTGGCTTCTCAACAACAACAGGAATAACTTTATTTGTAAATGTACAAACGAATATTTACTACATATACATGTAGCTCACTAGATGACTAAAAACAATATTATTGTTTCTCATATTGAGCAACTTGCTAAGGGAGTTCATTTTCAAATATTGTAAGTAAGCTCCCTTAGTAAATCACTCAATTTGAGATGAGAAAATCCTTTTGGGAATGATAAGCCCTTGGGCTTTCTTTTAGTTTTAGCTCTTTAACAACAAATATTGCTTTATCTAATTTACTGTAAACCTCTTCCTGTAGAGTGTGCATGCTCAGGAACTTACGAGGTTCACTTAGCAATGTTGTTGTAGAACTTTTTTTGTGTTTCATATTGTTGTCTTTCTTTATTTATTATCAAAAAGCTCCATAATATTATTCTTTAATGCTGGTAAAATTTTTCAGACATGCGAAACCAAACATGTTTGAAACTTACTGTTAATAAGCACCCCTGGAAATGAGCCCAACAAAACAACTTTTAATAATTATTATCCCAGGCACGTTATTTGACTTTTACACTACAGTACCCTAACAATCAACTTAACAGAATTGCATTTGGTCTTCCAAAGCAGGTGAAGATAGAGAAGCTATGAAACCAGATACAAATATGGATGAAGGTAGAAAACGATCTCGTTCTTAGAGTCCATCTTCTTCAATTCCTGCCTTCTTGAGTGGGATAGGAAGAAGAGATACTCTGGGAATAAGGTTGGGGAGAAAAGTAATATTAAATATCTGTAGGAAAAAAACATAATTTTTGTTGTTAAATTAAGATAAAAACAGAAAGCATTGATCACTCTGCAGAACATGTGAAGATTTAACTTTGTATTTAGCCATTTCAGCCAGTGATAAGCTCAGTTTCAGCTGATGAACGCTTTAAGCTGCATCCCTAAATGTGTCAGCTGTACTCTCTACATCCTTATCGATAATAGACTGACTTTGTGTACATTTATTAATGTAGAAAACAAGGAAGCGGAAGAAGCTGAAATGGAGGAAGAGGAAGAGGTGAAACCAGTGAAGAAGAATGCCAAGAAAGAAGTTGAAGAAGAAGAAGCTGAAGACAAAAGAGAACACGTGAACATTATATTTATTGGTCATGTTGGTGAGGGCTTCAATATGATTTATGATTTTATAAAAAAAATATTAAAAAGTTTGTTTTCACTCACTAAGAACTTTACATTTTAGTTAAAATAGTGTATTGCACTGCACTGCACTGTACTGTGCTGTACCCTACACCCTTATATTGCATACATGAACACAAAATTTATGTTGGCAGCATTGTTAATTCAACACAATTTTGTTCCCCTCAAATGCTAGAAAATCAATATAATTTATGAGTTATCATTGTTGGCTGTCAAAAAAAATTAACAACAAATTTTTTTAAAGTTTGTTGTCACTTACTACCAACTTTACATTTTGGTTAAAATACTGTACTGCACTGTGCTGTACCCTATACCCTTGTACATATCACATACATGTACACAAAATTCATGTAAGCACATTGTAAAATGAACACAATTTCATTCCTTTCAGATGCTGGAAAATCAACAATTGGTGGTCATGTGATGTAAGTGAGGGTTTGAATTGATCAGCTAATAGAGATACCGAAAAAGATATTATACTAGAATGACATTTTAATAACATCAAATACTTCTACTTGGTTTTTCGTTTACAAAGAAATTAAATTATTTGTCGCACTTGTAGGTATCTGACAGGACAGGTTGACAAAAGAACGCTTGAAAAGTATGAAAGAGAAGCAAAAGAAAAGAACAGAGAAACATGGTTGGTTTGTTGGTATTGTAGTAATGACGGTTACTATTGTTGATACTCAAGGCTGTTGTCTAAGAAAAATTGTGAGGAGCCGAAAGGTTCCTAATCATGAAATCCTGGGTGCCCAGCACATAACTTTATTTCTGAAAAGAGTAAGTTTTTCCAGTTGGCCAAAGGCAAGAGTTAGTCGCCTGTGGCACCCAACCACCTCTAGAGCACAGCGCTAGCCCTGGATACTGTTAGATTGTGATCTGGTCTCTTAAGAGTTCTAAGTAATGTATTTGGTACAATTTAGTTATAATAGCAATTTGATTGATGCATCTTAACTATTCCATGGTGTCAAAACAAGTTTTTTTCAAATAGTTAGACAATGCCATTTCAGACCTATTTGTTCATTCCTATTTTCTTATACTATTCAATAATTTTGTGTTATCAATACTTATTATAATTATTATAGAACTTTATCATTATTGTCATTGTCATCATCATTATCAATATTACAGTTAATATTATTTATTATTTTCGTTAGGTATTTATCGTGGGCCTTGGACACAAATCAAGAAGAAAGAGATAAGGTACAACCACACTCATCTGTTTCCATGTTTACTGCTCAGACACTGGTATCACGTTTTTGGAATAATGCTGTTCTCAGCTTTTTAAACAATTGAAATGACATTTCATATTGTCCTTAATAGCATATTAGATGGATGTGATTTGATTAACTTTATGGTGAACACTGTCACATTTTGTCCATGCCAGCATTCAAACATTCAAGGTTACATTCAGGGGCTTTTAACAGGTTGATATGACAGTGAAACTTTGCTGTCATTAATTGTGGGCGTAAAATATTTTCCTTGTCAACTGGTTATGTAATAGTTCTGAGTGGTATTATGCATAAAATTTCACAGGCGGAAACTAAAACATCTCATTGGTGTCTTAACCATTAATTGGAAAGAGCTTGAACTGTTACATTCAAAATCAGATTCACACAATGTTAATATCTTCTTGAATCACTGTCACTCCTCAGGGTAAAACAGTAGAGGTGGGAAGAGCTGCCTTTGATACACCCAGCAAGCATTTCACGTTACTGGATGCACCAGGACACAAGAGCTTTGTTCCAAACATGATCAGTGGCGCTGCACAGGCCGACCTTGGAGTTCTGGTGAGTACTCACTTATCATAATGTCTTGTATGTTTTCCTGTACAATACTGATGTATATATATATGTATGCATGTATGTTGTGCGGTTTAAAATAGTCTATTTGATACAAACTAGGTGAGTACTGTTGATATGATTTAAAGTGGATTGCTGTCTTGATGCAGCACTTGTCATAGAGCAATAAGAGAACCCCATAATGTTCAACTTCCTTGAAAGGGCCAATTTTGAAAAATGCCAACATTATGGTTGGCATTTCACCACAGAATACCCACCAGAGTTCCAGCCGGTGTCAGATCTTATTAAAATCCTTACTAGGTACTGTATTTTAAAATTGATTGAACGTATTGGGGACTGTGTGTATTATGACTGAGAGTCATCAATAGCTCGGTCTTACTGACTTGACTGATGCAATTAGTGAGGGTGTTAGGTATTTTTGTGAATATGAGCATGGGTTTATGTCATTCTTGAATGCTGTGAATGTGTTAACACATGTTTGTGGCTACTCTTACTTGGTAGAGGCTATTCCTTTGCATGTAACAGTTTTTGACTGTGAAGGTTGAACAGGGCAGAATGATCAATATCAACGACTGGTCCTTGGACTGTATTTCTCTCTCCCAGGTCATCTCTGCCAGAAAAGGAGAATTTGAAACTGGTTTTGAAAGAGGAGGTCAGACAAGGTGGGAAAAACGTATTTTTGTTCAACATGGTTATGTACTAGCCATGTCAGACTTGTGTGTTTGTCATCTCTGGTTTATCAAAAACCCAGTATTTTATTTGTAGTTGGATTCAGGCACAGGTAAGGCCAGGAGAGAGTATTGTTTCAGGAGAAGTATGTTTTTATTCAGCTTTTTGTCTTGTTTATGACAGATTTGTATCAGAGTAGCACAGAAATATTTCAATGCATTTTGTTTCTTCATAATCATTGAGGCCGGTGGCTGCAAGTCAGGAGGATTTGTCTGAAATCAGAAAACCAGTTTTTTTCATCTTTGCTTTTTGATGTTAGCAAGACTGTGGGTTCTGCATTGTATTTCAGAGAGCATGCTATGTTGGCGAAAACAGCAGGAGTAAAACACTTGGTTGTCCTTGTTAATAAAATGGATGATCCCACAGTGGAATGGGACGAGGGAAGGTTGGTATCTTCAGGAACCAGAGATGGTTTGTCAACAAGCTGTTAAGAAATAAATTTTTTGTGTTTGTTTCATTTGAGTATCAGAAGTACAGCTCCCAGGGAAAAGAGATTCCTGTATAAAAAGGATGGGGAGGCTCGTTGTACCTTTGAGGGGTTAAAAAAAATGGTTTTGGTACCACTAAGGGTGTTCGGCCTTAAAAGGTCCACAGTGGGAGCTTTCGTAGTACCTTTTAGGGTATTCAGCCGAAAAAATTTGACAGGAGATATTTGAAAATCCACTTTTTGGGTAGAAGGTATTTGAAGCAATCGTCTTTATCAAAATTAAAAATAATGAAGGTGCCAGTTACTATGTTGTTTTAGAATTGGTAACTCTCAGGGGTTAAAAAAAATTGAAGCCATGCCCACAGAACACGATCTTGGTACCTCTGAGAGGTTCTTTTCAAAATTCCTGATGAGTTTCCGAATGCTTTTGAAATGGGACTCCCCCCCCTGGGGGGGGGACGTTTCCACTAGCATTTGATTTGATTTTATTTGTGAATCATGATTTGAAAGATTAAAAGTAATGTCAATCAATGTTTTGATGCATCAAACTTCATTCTCAGTTCAAGTATAAACTCATCTGCTTAAAATATATGAAATGCTATTCATAAAAGAACTAAAACCATCACTCAACCGACCTACTGTCTAACTCAGTCTGCACAAAGTCATTCTCTGATAATTAGACATTTTCATACTTCTCGCTTTCTGGAATGCAATAATTTTAAACTCAACTCTTAAACTCAACTCATAACAACTTTGACATTGACATTAGCGACCTCGATATTGAGAATGATGCTTGATACACTTGGTGTAATGGAAGTACCATGTATATAGACCCATTTCAGTAATTTCCAGTCTGGAGCACAAAACAATGGTTGTTCTCTCCCCTGAGAGAAACAAACCTTTCAAATGCAAAACAATGTTATTGTCTTGTTCTCCAGATTGGGAATTAACTGAAAGGGGTCTATACACATGAAAAAAAAAAAACTCTTCCTAAAGTAAACTGATGCTTTTATATCTTAAAGATATGAAGAAATCCAAGTAAAACTGACTCCTTTCCTAAAGAAAAGTGGCTTTAACCCAAAGACAGGTAACATTTGATTCCTGTAGTCCTGTCGTCATGGCTGTTTACAAGAGTGTTAAATTAAAATTACAATTTGTTACTGAAATCACAAAACAAAAATAGGATTTTTTTCAGGGTTGTTGTAAGGATAGTCATTCCTTATGAAGAGCATCTGATCACAAAAAGAGCTTTGGCAGATTTTTGTGGTCACAACACATTTCTGATCTTATTGATTCCTTCTCTGCTGTGATAAAATGTACAATTCTGTTTTACTTTGTTTTGGATTTCATCTTCATGTACAGCAGTGGATGCATGACTGGAATACTTGGTTTGTGAAGGAAAACATAATTGAACTTTTCTCCTTTTGCTTTCTTTCTTTCTCTTGTTTGTTGTCACAGATGTTCATTACATGCCTTGTTCAGGACTAACAGGTGCCAATCTTCGTCAAAGATTAGATCCCGCTGTGTGCCCATGGTACAGGTGAGTACTCAATTGGGCTGAAATTTACATGTAACTCTTGCCAGTCCTTTGTGTCCTTTTAGGTTAGTTTCCTTAGATCTTAATGGCCCAAAGACAAGATTTTTAAAATTTGCCCTCTGTTTCCTGCTGTCTGGCACAAAAGTACTATCCCCACAGCTTTTATTGGCGTTTTAACTGAAGAGATCAAACACAGAGGCAACGTCTTCCTCCAGAAAAAAACTCATGACACTTCTTAAATGGATGGTAAAGCACTTTGGATGAGTCTGGACTCATGAGACAACACGAATATCCATCTGAAGTCTTTGTTGTGGATGGATCAAGTACAATCTTGTTAAACTGTTACAATCTGTTTGGAAGTTTCTAGGTAGCTGAACTTAAAACTCACTGGCATTGATGAAGTTGGAGTTGAGGAAAAGAAATTGTCTAATTAAACTACATGTTAAATTAGTTGCCATGGCTTATTTTAAATTGCTACTGGTGGTTGGGAAACCATTCAGTTTTTGCTCTGGCATCAGTTTGTTTTTTTTCCCAACTACTCTGTCCACTGTGAGAGTACAAACATGTACATGATAGCATTATTCTTCTGATTATTCTCAACAGTTTACTACCTGCAAGTAAACTGTCACTAGTAAAAGACTATTATAGGACGTTTTAAGTCAGAATTCAACTTTACTGTCTTGTGTTGCAGTGGCAAGTCTTTCTTGGAATATATAGATGAACTACCATCACTGACACGACCTATAGACGGCCCTCTTAGAATACCGATCTCAGAAAGATACAAGGTGCGAACAATTTTATTGTGTTGCAGTGCATTTGTTGTACTCATAGAAGATCATGTGAAAAAGTTAGTTGTTTGAAAAGGGTTGTTTGCTCACTTGAGCAAGCTCTATTTGATTTGTTTGATAGCATCTAAATTTGTTGTAGTAATAACAATCTATTTTTTACATGACTGCAGGATATGGGAACTGTGGTACTTGGTAAAGTAGAGTCTGGAAACCTTACCAAGGGAGATTCGCTGCTTTTGATGCCCAACAAGGTGATGAAGTAATTTTATTAAATACTTGCCCCACAAATGTTTTCTTTTTTCTTAACAAAATTTGTGAAAGTTTGGGAGAACTCAAAAAAGGTGTTTAAACACGCGCCTGTAGCTCTTGTTCCCCCAGCAGGGCTGTCATTAAAGGCCGTAACCCGTAACACCTGTTACGGCTGAGTATGCTTGATTTTCCCTTGGTGAAATTGCCTGTTCTTGATATAATTCAACCACAAAGCAACAAGGTTGCTACAGGTGTGGAAAAAGAGGCTACAGGTGACTCAAAACTTAATGACAGCCCTGCAAAACACTGTTTTGTTCTTCAAAAATGCCATCTACATTTACATGAACTTTAAAGCTCTTCACTAATTTACAGTTTATAGCTTTTTTAACTAGAACATTATTATTTAAAGTCGATTATTAGACTGTGGTAACTTTGACACATACAGGTTGCAGTAGAGGTGTTAGGAATCATATTTGATGAAGAAGAAAAGTCAGGAGCCGTGGCTGGAGATAATGTTAAACTTAAATTGAGAGGAATTGAAGAAGAGGTTTGTACCGTCATTCAAAACATCTCACACCATCACAGAGATAAAAAGAAACATGGCATTTTGAGTTCATCTGTCCGGGTACAAAATTACCTTTAAATTGAAGGAAAGCTGAAAATATTATTTTACTAAGATAGAAAAACACTAAAGAGTTAGTAATAAATCATCAAGAAACAAGGATGGTTGAGGATGGGGAAGATTGACGCAGATCACAAACAACGAACCAGAAAAATTTAGGCCAAAATTTTCGACATAGTACATGGCTTGAACCCAGGAGTATCAGTAGTTCGTATAGTGTGATCGTCCGGGTGAGGGTAGTTCTGAAAAGATCTGTTGGTGGTGACTGACGTTTCGACAACCTGCGGAAGTCATCTTTAGAGTCAAGTGAATAGTGTTTGTCAGTCGATGATGTTATAAGTCTAGTCCGTTAAACGTGATTGGTCAGTTAAGCCATGATGGTATTGGCTGAAAGACTCGTGTAAAGTTTGTCATCAGTCATTGGTCGGTTTTGATCCGTCTATTGTTAGTCAGATAGGCACCATAAGCATTTGCAAGGTTCTTTATAATTGGCTAAAGGAAATAAAAGATAAAGAACACAAACAATTTCCCCGGCCCTAAAGTGGTGCAGGTCAACTGTGTTTCCTAGCATCAAGAATCAGGTTTCACAATTTGTAAGAGGCTTGTTGTATGACAACTGTGTCACAAGGTAAACTGATTACAATAGTGTCTTTATTATTGCAGGATGTTTCTCCTGGGTTTGTGCTCTGTGCACCGGACAACTTATGCCATACAGTCAAAACATTTGAAGCTCAGGTCAGTTAGAAAGACACTCATTATCTTGTAATTTTTTGATACATACATACATATACATTTTATTTGTTGTCAAATTAAAATTACAATTGTAACATGCCCGCGGATAGCTGAGCTAANTAACGATATTACAAATAATAATTAACAACAGTTACGACGAGAGACTACAGATACACTAAAGCGAAATTATTGAGTATTAATGAATACATACTAGGAGGATTTGATTTTAGATTGTGTAACGTATCTGTGTAATAATAAATGTACACTTGCAGAATCTTTCTGTGCAGTAAGTTAGAATATAATTGATGAGTAGCTGTAGAGTGATGTAACACACTAAAGGATCAAGAAGAGGTTTCTTATCCAACATTTTTCTTTCTGAAAACAAAACTTTAGACGGTATTTTGCATTGCGTGCTCCAAGGAGGACCAGGAGTGACAGATTTGTCTTAAAACGATCACGTTTGTTTCCTTTCAGGTGGTTATTCTCGAGCATAAGTCCATCATTTGTGCAGGTTATAGCGCTGTTTTACATATTCACAATGTCATAGAAGAATGTACATTTATGGTAAGATAATGTAACAATATGAAATTTATTCTTTGTGTTTGTGTTTTATTTAAGAAATAGAAAACATGTACCGTGTTTCTATCGAGTTTTAGTAGAATTCTACAAGCATACTAATGCAAATGCTGTAATCTGATTGGCTGAGCCATTGAATACTATCTTTAAGTCTTTAAGTCTTTAATACAAATTCCAAATTACATTACATTGAACAAGTCAATCCTATCAGCCATTAGTGTGCAGTGGCTGGAGGTCGTCTAGGCAATGGTGACGTTTCTTTCGTTTTTCCAAAGTTTTGGAGGAAAATTTTGATGCAAATGGATAATTAAATTCCTGAGACGTCTAAACGAAGGACATTTACGGTTTCTTGACTTTCAAAAAAGTTGAAATTATTGAAAAAACTGATGCTCGCGCGCACACAACTTCAATTTTAAATGACAATTCAATCCGAGCGATGCTTTTCAGGCGCATAGTTTACTAATACGTCAAGAAATAATTGAAAACCGTTATTTGAAGTAAATTTTAGTAAGAATTCTACTAAAACAATTAGATTATTCGCTCTCGATTTCAATGATGTGATAGTTGATTCGGCCTTCGTCCTTATCAGCTATCACGTCATAGAAATCTCGAGCTCATAATCTACTTGTTAAATAGAAACACGATTTTTAACCAATCAGCGCGCGTATTTTCTTAGTACTGTTTTTTAAAGTATATTCTTAGATGCGCTTCCATAAAACTTCATAACTTGTAAGAATAAATCGCCTTTCGGAAAAAAGGAAATCATATTCGACAGAATATAAATATGATCCCTTTTATTGAATTCGCTTCCCAGGATGATGCATTTCTAGCCTTCCGATTGTTCCACTAAATTTTGTTTATCAGCCATAAAACCTTTGTTTGACCGTAAATGGAAAATGAGTGTCGTTAAACTTGAAATTTTTCGGCTGAAAACAGACGATTTGGTGAGTGTACATAAAGCCACAGAACGTCACAGTTAACTCAACCACGTAGAGTTTGATGGGAAATATTTAATTTAAAAGGATTGTTAATTAACAGGAAAGGCAACTGAATGAAGAAAAATTCATAACAAAGCAGTTGTAGTCTTGAAGATGACAGGCAGTGACAAACTAGCTCACTGTTAATTTCACATTTTTTTGTATATTTTTTGCAGCATTTAATAGCGTTACTTGACAGAAAAACAGGAAAGAGACAGAAGGAAAGACCGAGATTCATCAAACAAGACAACGTAGCAATAGCGAGGCTACAAACAACTGGAGTTGTCTGCATAGAGAAGTTTACCGACTTCCCACAGATGGGAAGATTTACGCTCAGAGACGAAGGTACTGTAAGAATGCCATTCACGTTGATTGAAAGAAAAAAAAGCTCTCGAGCAAGTTGCTTCACCGCAGATGTTGCACTAGGAGCTGCTGGAAGCACCCTGACTCGCCTGAAAGGCACCATGTGGTTACCAGTCATTTAGCTCCAAAGTCGTTAAGCCCTTAGCCGGTTAGCCCCCAACCAGAAGTCAATTAACCCCCATCAACGCTTAAAGAACGAGAAACAGACAGCGTTATCACCTACTGGTTGAGGGCTAAACGGTTAAGAGCTAATAGACTTGAGGGCTAAACGACCGGATACCCACCGTCTAATTTCCACAGTGGGCAAACGAACGTTCCTTTCGCCAACTTTCCAATAATGGCTGACCCTTGCGTGCCGTGTTTTAAGCGTTCCTGTTTGCCTTAATAAGTGGCCCTATGCTGAAAGTAACGCTCAAGGCATTGACATAGTGAGACGAGTGAATTAATTAATTAAGTCTGTCATCTGAACGTAATATTGAACTCACTGATTTGGAATAATGAAACAATTGTTGTTTTGACTGAGAGGATCGCTACTGGAACAGTTCTTGAGTTTAAGTATCTGTTGTTGTTCATTAAACTGCTGTATGACATTCTGATGTGTTTGGTTAAAATTAAATATACACCGTGTCCCCAATAAGCGAGGAGCACCCCTTGCTCCGATAGGCGCCCCTCCCCCCCAACCCTCGTTGAACAACCAGTAGTATTTATAAATTGACTAGGGCCCCAGCTGTTCAAAGGGTGGATGACGCTATCCAGTAAATAAATGTTGACAAAACAAACTAGGTTATCCACTGGATGGTGATTTAACGCGATACACCCTTTTAACAACTTGGACCAGGATGCTGAATCCAGTCGTTACGGTACGTCAACTCATCTCTTATTTTTCTTCCTTTTTTCAGGCAAGACCATCGCTATCGGCAAAGTTTTAAAGCTAATACCCTAAATGGAATGAATCTTCTACAACCTGATGATTTTCAAAACCAGTAACCGCGCGCGAAAATCTCAAGAGAAAGAGTATTAGCTGAATGAGTGTGGCTTTAAACACTCGAGTTTGTCCAGGAGCAGTGAACAGATATGAACTAATGTCATTGCCGAGCCACAAACAGTGAACACTACAAATGGCTGGTCATTATACCATTTGGTATCATAGCAAATATGGCTTTTGTATAACTAAACTGAATATAAACTGGTCGTGGTTGATAAGTTAATGGTTGATTATACAGTTTGATTGTAAGTGTCGTTTTCTTGCTGCGCTTGTTTGGAAAAAGCCGCGAGAATAGACTGAAAGCGCACAAGTGCGTAAGAGGATGATCGAGGCTAAGATGCTTTCGAGCTCGAGAAGAAATGTCAATTATTTTTTACTCTCTACGAAACGGTCAATGAGTTACGAAAATCATGTGTTAATTGATTGATTGGGTACCCTGTTTAGGCAACGAATCAATCATGTCTGTAGAATGGTTTATCACTCACTACTACATGTGTCGTGGATGTGATTCTCGCTATAACATTTTGAATAGTGAAAACTCCACGCACGTTAAAAAAAGATAATATACTTGTCATAAGCGTTGAATTTCTAGCCTGATGGCACGCTTGTGGTTGAAACCCTGAGTCACCACGGTACATTCCTTTAATCAATTCCGAAAGAATCTTAGGTCACTCAAAGCAAAGTCGACTTTAACCTTGAGAAAATAAGTAGTTGCGATTGCTCTTTGCAAGCACCCTAAAGTACTGAAACACCGTCGAGTTTCTTCAGATCGAGCTTATTCAAGCTTGTACCAAGCGAAAAACCAACCTTCGAAAAAGAGTAAATGTAAATTTGTGCTGGAGTACTTTTTCGAAGTTGATTAACCGCGGGAAAACGAAGTTCTTAAGGGTAGACATTTTTCTTGTCTTTTTCCGCAAAAATGACGTAGAGTGAAAAAAAAAAAAAAAATTGAAATTACCATAGTCAAACGACGTCAGAGAGAGTCGTAATAATTTCACGCAGTCCAGTTTTATTACTTTACTGAAACAGTTAAAGGAGTTACGTCACGGTTTGCTCATCTTGAAACTTTAGCCTAAATTTTTCAAGTTCGTGGTTTGTAATCCGTATTAATCTTCTCCATCCTAAACCATCCTTGTTCCTTTATGGTTTATTACTATCCCTTTGGTGTTTTTCTGTCTTAGTGAACTATTATTTTCAGGTTACCTTCAATTTGAAGGCAATTTTTTTGCGTGGCCAAAATAACTTAAAATGCCGTGACTGAACTCCTTTAACAGCTATTCATTGCCGCAAGATAATTTTATTGGTTTAAGTTTTAAGTATACTGTATGTTACTTTTCAATGACAGGAACCGGTCGTACACGATAAATATCAGTTACTAAAGTGGTTTTGTTTTATGACACGTTCGTTTGTGAAACGGTCATAAAATCTCCGGTGGTTCGCTATTGTTGTATATTTCTATCATGTCTTATTTTTTGTCGCAAGTAAAAACTAAATTAAAATTATTTGAACAAGAGTCGATGACTCTTCGAGGCAAAGTAGTAATATTTTGCTGAATTCACGCGATATAACTTCAGTTCAAAGATTTCCCATTTTGCGCATGATATGTCCTCGAATTCTTGTTTTGGCTCTTACGAAGAGGGGGTGGGGAGGGTATGGGGTGGAAGGAATTACTAAGAGAAGATGAGAAGACAAACGGGATGCCTGACAGAAAAAAGTTCTACGGAAACCCCAAAGCTCCTAACACATCCCTCGGTGGTTGCGGACACTTGCGGAACCCTATCTCCTCCGAGGCTCGAAGGTTGGTTTGAATTTTTGGGACAAGTCCCTGCGACTACTTCCTCAAAACGCTTCGTGCGAACTGTTCGTCCCTCGCAGGCGTTCGAACGTTATTTGTAGAAATCCGCTGTGCGAGGTGCGTGCAGGTGCAGACACGATCAGTGTTTCGGCTCTATAACCATAGCTAGTACGTGTAATTTGTGATAATCGGTATTGACATAAAGGTCCGCACACACGAGGGGACTAGTCCTTGCGACTAGTCCCTGCCGCAGGGACTTGTCCCACCTTGCGGGGTCTGCGGAGAAGAGAGCGCTCCGCCTACTATCGATTACTAGCCAGTAACCTGCGTGTTTATATATCGAAATACCCCGAACGTCGTGTCAGTTCACTATCGTTAGCTAGTGGATGGCGCATAGATTTTGTCACCGGGCCCAAGTGGCATGGTTTAGAGTAACCTGCGGTCACACCCTCCCTTAGGTTTAGAGCCGGCCGTTCTCTGATAGGTTACCGATTTTGACTATTTTGGTCTTCAATTGTTGATGGTTTCTCTTTCTAAACTTTTGTGAAGTACGCTGGGTAGCCTCGGATCTGTCACGCCCCTCCCCCCTTCCGGTCCACGCCCGATGAAGTGGCCAACATTAAAAGTCCCTGCGACTCAGGGTATTTGAGAATATGCCGTGTGGGTCCATTTTGGGTCAGAGCTCATTTTGGTTTCCGATGGGGTAATAGGACGAGTAAGGTTTCAAGGGCGAGCCACACATATGTACAACTCCCCCCAAATTTTTGGACAGTAGAAGGTTTTGCAATAACTGAACTTTGAACAGAAAACAAAGCACTTTTTTTTCGTAATTAAAGTAAGCAATTGCAAAAAAGGGGGAATTTAAGGACATTGAAGGACAAAACAATTTTTCCCTAACAAATAAAGAAGCCCAAGCCTTGTATTGCACTGTAAGAAAACTCGACGGGCATTGGAGAATACGAGAGAGAAAACACGTGTAATACACGGCTTAGGCTTCTTCATTTGCTTTATGATAACGTGCTTTTTCTATGTTTTATACTCTGACAAAACATGGGTTTTTGAACAATCAGAGCGCGCACAGGGTCCTATCTATATTATAAACTAGGGTATCTAAAAGATAATAATGCTGCGGCACATTCTATTGATAGTGACATATTTTACGCAGTGATTCATCTACAACTTCATGCATGATGACACATGGATGGCGAGGTGTGACAAGGGATCGTGACAAAAAAGCCCATAGTGATCTGACCCATGTTTGAACATAAAAAGATACACATCAATCTCCCCTTTACCAGATCGCGGAAATCGAAAGATGTGGAAGTTGTAGGAGCAGA